TCTCTCTCTCTCTCTCTCTCTCTCTCTCTCTCTCTCTCTCTCTCTCTACCTATCTCTTTCACTTGCTTGCTCACATTCATTACAGCAATGGCCAATGGCCGATGGCCTATTCTGACAATAAGAACACTGATATATACGTTTATTCCTTGGATTGTATAGAAAATCTGTTTCATATAGCCAGTTGGTTATTCATTTTGTTGTACGCCTCTTGGTTTCGTTCTGTTCATAAATCATTTTGTGTGCTTACACATATAAATTTTCGGTTTATTTTTTCTATTTCTTTTTCAATCAGAAACGGTCATATGCTGACTCATCGTAATAAAAAGCCATACGAGTGCAAGGCAGAAGGTTGTGGTAAATCCTATTGCGACGCAAGATCGCTAAGACGACACACCGAGAATCATCACAGTACGGTAGCAACGACGCCAACCACCCCAACCCAATCGATTTCATCAACCGGTCCACTTGGTGGTCTGAGTTTGTCGCCAGCAACCGCAAGCGGTAAGCTCTCTGTCTCTGTCTCTGTTTCTATAACATTTGATTTTGCTCATTATTTCGTTCATTTAAAGAAAATAAGTGCCTGTCACTTTGTCAACTTCCCGTCTAATGATTCGCATTCAAACGTACTTGAATTCCTTTTTCTTCTGCTTTCGTTTCTCTCTTTTTTTCGGTATGTGTGCGTGAGTGTGAGTGTGTTTGCGAGAAACTTTTATCGAAAGTTTTAACGTTTATTCCGAGGTTATGCGTGATGCCACAGAGAGATAATTTGCAAATAATTGCGCTCATTTGAATAAATTATGGATAAAAGGTGTCTATATTTAATGATGTTTTCTTTTCTTTATGTCTGCCTCCGCCCCCCTCCTCAATTGCTTCCTTCTCGACGTTGTCGCTGCCATCGTTGCTGTTGAATATTTGCCGTTTGTAATGATTAGGTGATGCAAGCTCTCCGCATGGCTCTAATTGTTTGCAGTTTAATGGTAATGGTGTGGGAGGAGATGGATCGAAATCGTCGTCGCCGAGCTTACCAGCTGCTACAAGTAATGAGGGACTTTCACGTCAGCAGCTTGATCTCATTAGTCAGATTATGCAACAAACCAAACCGAACATGAGTCTGACTTCAGTCAACCAACAAAATGGTCAAAAATCCATTCCGCGCCCAAGAACCTGGAACATTCAGGTGAGACACACACACACACAGAATATATTGTCACTATAACAAATACGTGCCACTAAAAGATACACGAAAAAAACGAAGCAAATGATTTAATCTAGAAAAACCGGGTTGTCGATTATTAAGATTGCGAAAATGTGCTGAATATCAGTTCCAGCATCTAGACTGATAAAAAAACTAAAACAAAGTTTAAAATTGCATAAATTGAAAAAGTAAAGAAAAAAAGCGAAGAAAAACGAAAAAAAGCTAAGAAAGTTTTAATCCCCTTTCGACTCCGTTTAGACACAACTGCAACAAAATCAAACGAAAACTGACGTGGATACGGTAAACAGAACATCGAATGCGTCTACAACACCACAATCAGCCGCTGCGAACGCGGTGAAAACGGAGCAAAAACCCGTTGAATGCAATTTGTGCCATCGAAAGTTTAAAAATATACCCGCTCTAAATGGTCACATGCGATTGCATGGCGGATACTTTAAGAAAGATGCTGAAGCGAAAAAATGTGATAAAAAAGAGACACCTGGACCACCATTGCAGACTGCAAGCGTTGGCATTCGGGCGCTGATCGAAGAGAAAATCATTAGCAAGCGAGGAAAAGACATACTCAAAGTATGTACCGAACATTTGCAATTTTCCTATTCACCCACTATAAATTAACCGACTTTTGCTCGGTGGTTTGCATTTGATAATTTTTGATTAATTCCTTTGTTTCTTTGCTGTCTTTTTGCTTAGAATTCATTTGCCGTACCTGCGCCGCCGACATTATCACGACGATTAATCGATGCGGATAATTTTGTTACAGCAAAAACTCTGACAACAACGAATGTTGTTACGCCAAATCATGTGGCAAATACCACCAGTTCGATTCCTGTGTGCCAAACGACAACCATGACAAATATGACCCCAACGACAATTGCCAAGAATTCCATTGAGACGAAAGATGCCACGCTTATCGAACTACTGAAACGCGGCACAAAAGTGGCAGTCAAATGCAATTCAAACGATCCACATGGCAGCACTCTGACATTCAAACCAAACCCCACGCAATCAGCAACTGTCCTATTGCCATCGAATGTGTCCGTTTCGTCACCAGTTACACCGACCACCAGCCCATTGGCCATCTCATTGTCAAATAATTCCGTAAAAAACACTCCACTTGCGCTCACCATTTCCCAAAATGCAAACGGATCCAGCGATGTGTACACATTGGCCTACTCAACGGGTTCCACATCAACGTTCTTCAATGAAAACGATGTGTACAATGTACCCGACACAGCGATGCTTCTGCAAGCCGTCGATTCCATTCAGCTTTTACAAAATTCCACCGCATCATCACAGCTTGGTGACATTTCAACAATTGGTGAATACGCTTTGGCCGACGGTAGCGATTTAAGCGATGCTAATCTGTTGTCACAGTACACACCATCTCGGCAACTGCAAGCCGTGCTCAATTCACCGTTGCCCGAAAGTTTGGCCGAATTTAGCGCACTTCATTCCAAGGATTTCGTACTGTATGGCACCGAAAGTGAAAACGATGATTCGCCCACGGCACAAACATCCAATTCACCATTGCCTACATCACCACTGTCGTATCCAACACCGCCAGCCAGCCACGAGGGAATCACACAATCATCACCGTTTCTCGATGATACGCATCATTTTGGTGATGCCAATTCAATCTTCGACGAGAAGAAAAACATCAGTTTTCTCGATGAAAATGGACTGTTCAAAGACATTAAAGACTCACGGCTCAGCGATTGCGAGCAAATTTTAAAACTAAAACATGAGCTTTTCAACGACTCCAAAGTTGTTATGGACGACACATTGTACTTTAAGAGTGAGGTCAAACATGAATACGATTCCAAGGGTGATCTCTCTGATGCAAACAATCACACCAACAATATCGACGAGTTCAATCAAAATCTGTCGTTCCTTGATGAGTCCCGAAATTTCCTCGAAGATAGCCGTAATCCGTCGTCACCGTTGTCAGCCGCATTCTTCACCGGCACAATGTCTAGCGCCGAAGAGGTAAAAGAAGCGCTGCAAGAAGTGTTGCCCAACGAGAGTATCACATGTGAACAGAACAACGATATTGATCTGTATTATTTACCATCGGCCGCTTTCCAATCGCAAATGATGCTCAACTCAGACGATCCGCTGCTGTCATCTTCACCGAAAGATTTTATCATCAAACATCCCATCAATCGATTCGAATTCGATTCCGGTTCAAGTGCAAAGAAGCCAAAATTGGATGCTGGAATCAATGTGGTTGAAAAAAGTAAAATACTAATCACAAATCAAAGCGACAAAATGTCAAACGAGACATTTTTGAGCCCGTCCAATTTGCCAATAAGTACGCAAGTGGCTGCAGCAGTTAGTAATAGCAACACCATTGAGTTTTCTCAGCCGCTTGCAAGAGAAACGCAGCAATGCTTAATGAAAACTCCACACGTGAATGTTCGACGAAATGTTGTGTATAAATCGATTTTACGAAAATCCTCCGCTCCATACTACACCCCATCGCCCATCCTCGATCCGAAACGAAACTCACCCGGTTTGTATGCGGAAATATCGAAAGATGCCACCACCGAGGATATGATTGACTTTGAATTTGCCGAAAGTGCATGTGTTCCGGAGTTTAGCCGGAAATTTAAAGTAAATATTGGTTCGGATTTCCAAGCCATAATTCCGTCAGCGGAACTGAAAACCGGTTACGAATGGAGCGAGGAAAAAGAGCGTGAACAATTGTTGTGGAAACCAAACGTTTTGCAAAATGACAAGCAAATTCAGCGTTTTGTCGAGCTGGCCAAATCGAGTGCGGTGCCATTGGTGTGCCACTCCGAGGAGATGGCATTGAAGGCGTTACACGATGCAAATGGTGACATTCCAAATGCAATTTTGAAAATGTTACAAGAACCACCGTCATCCATTCACAATCGATGGCAACCACAAGAAGTCGAAACTTTTCTTAATGGCCTCGAAATGCACGGAAAAAACTTTTATAAAATTTCCAAAGAGGTAAGAACCATTTTCATCGTTTGTTGTTGTTGTTATCAAGGTTGGTTTGTTTTGGACGATTACCATTTTTCTTCACATTCCGTTTTTTTTTCATTACATTCGCGACACATTTAGATTCCATCGAAAACGACTGGCAACTGTGTACAATTCTACTATTTTTGGAAAAAGCTTTGCGTTCACTACAAAAGCACACATCTAAGTTCCGAACTCAATTCTACCATGGATGGACACTCTCCAAATGTAATAAATCAACAAGAATCTCGCCCGCATGTCTGCGAAATGCCGGATTGCTCAGCCGTAAGTATATAAATCCATGATATTATCGGAATATATTGCAAAACTCTTAGCAAAAACCGTCGATCTGTGGAAAATTTCGTTCAATATTTTGTTTCCAACATTGAAATTGCTTTTCGTGGCTCTATTTCTTTCCTTCGATCTCTATCGATATAAAAACCTGATTGACGTATTTATTTCAATACCGTCCAAATGGTAATTTCCATAGCAAAAAAAAATTTTTCAAGACGAAAAAAACGAGTAGTTAATGAATACCATAAAAAGGAGAAAATAGCAAAAAGCTTATTTTAACTTCAGAGACAATTTCGTTCGGTTTAATTTATGAACAAAAAGAAATTGCTAAGAAGAAGAAACTTTTCCAATAAATAAATCATTCATTTAAAAATATGTATCAATGGTAAGAAAAAAAATGTATAAAAACACATTCGTTTCGATTTTCCAAAAGAGCTTCACATCAAAAGCAGCGCTGCACGGTCACACACGAATTCATTGCATTGGGCGGAGTACAAGCACATTTTCATCCAGCACGGCCAATGGACAAAGTTTGTCAGGTACTTCAATTGCTTTAATCACAAAGGAAGATTTTCCCTGCAAGGTGTGCGGAAAGTAAGACTCACTCCATAATCCTAACATTCATCAATTTCATTTTTCTTTACTACTACTCTAACCATGATAATACACAAAAAAACCACACATATCAAATTCCGTAATTTGTCCACATTTTCGTCAACTTCTTGTTTAGTTAATTTTGTTCACTCTTTCTATCTCTCCCTTTCTCACCAATTTTCCGTTTGTTTTAGAATTGCATTTAATATTAACACACACACACACACACACACTGTTTATATAGGTAATAGTTTGTGTTTACCACCATACCTAAACATATGTGGCAAATGCTCTCAAACTGCTTCCATTTGTAGTTCCTCTTGAAAAATAGAAACTTTGGTCTGTAGTTTGAACACCGTTATTATTTTTATTGGTAGATATGTTTGTCCATATTGGAAGCGCATTCATTTTTGATCTTAACTAGGAAAATCATATTATCATTATTATGAAATATCGTAACATGAATGGAGTTGTCCATTTTCAAAGTGTCTTTAAAACGTGTTGTTTCGTTAAGTCGGAATGATTATTTTTGCATCCATTTTGATGCGTCATATGTACACACTGATCCCATTCGACGTTTCGTCTTTTTTACTCTCGTCGTTTAATGTTTTCAATTTCTCAATGCATTTCACTTTTAAACGATAACAATCAAGTAACGATTTGTTCTCGGTCATTTTCCCACATGAAACGTTTAAACACATTGTCCGAAAATGAACCGAAAATAGCCGCATATTCTGAGAAAAAGCATTTAGCAAACAACTAAAAACCACCTATTCTCTACTTGCTGTGAAACATTTTCGTTTCTTATTAAAAATCTGGTATTTAAATTCATCAGAATGGACAAAAAATATTCGCTTAGAACTTTGACCACGTGTGTGAGTTTGTGTACTTTTTCTCTCTCTCTCCCTTTCGTTCGAAACTAATAAAATGACTGGCACTCGTTCAGTGCCATTATCAAATCAACTCACAGAGGAAGAAAAAAAATAACGTGTAGTACATAACCCATGCCATTCATTTAACAATGTTCAATTAACATGAGCAGTTGTGAGAAACCGAAAAAAACCATTTAATTTTTGTTGGCGGGTAAAATCGTTAACACAACTGTATTTAATGTCAAATAATGTTGATATGCTCGTAATGTAAAATGCTCTCTCTCTCTCTCTCTCTCTTTTCCTCGCGTTAAATGCGCTGTGCTCGTTACTTGAAATCATTATTTGCATGTTGTTCAATTGTTCTTAAAATAAGCTTATTTTGTGCTGAATCTCTCTTTTTCACTCTCTCTCTCTCTCTCTCTCTCTCTCTCTCTCTCTCTCTCTAATACTTCGTTCTCTCGCTGAACGTTAACTGGATATTGCCAATTTTTATTAACGTAACAAATTTTCTCTTTACCTTTTCCCCACATCTTTTGTTCTCTCTCCTTCTATCGCTTCGCTTCGGTGCTCTGGTAACTCTCTGGTGGGATTCACTACATTCAGGATATTTAATAAAGTGAAAAGTCGTAGCGCACACATGAAGTCACATCGAGCACAAGAGACGGAAACGAGCGCAAATTGAATGTGTTGTATTTCAACGCTGTATTACGATGGAAAAAAATGAAGATTGCCACCACCACCGTCACCAGCGCCACCGTTGCTGCTGCTAATGTTGCTGCATTGACCAAAAGCTGATTGTTGGAGGCCTAAACTAAACATAAAACGTAGCATAGTTGCGATTTTTACGAAATTACCATTTATTGTGTATGACAGCAACAAGCACACACACACACACACACTTCTTACATTATATTTGAATTGGATACAGCAGAACAAAAATCGAATTGGATTTCCAAAAGAACAGAAACAACTTCATTTAGCGTATATTCTTGAAAAATTGACAATCTGATTTATTTCTTTTATAAGGTGAATAACAAAAAAAAAACTTTTAATTGATATTGTACCGAAGCAAGGTAACCAAAAACAACTTATTATTAAACAAAAACCAACAGAACGAGATTAAAGTGAATATTATAGAAATCTAACTGAAAACTTAGACACTAATTGTACAGTAAAAAATGTATTTTTTTAAAACTGCAACAAATATTGTAATGAAATGAGTGAAATTAAAGCGAAAAAACGAAAAAAATGTTCAGTATTATTCCAAGTGTTTGCGACAGAAGAGCTGCGCAAACGCCCCCGTCATAAATCAAATGAAATTTGGAATAAATATATATGCAATAGCAGATACTTTCATGTCTTGTGATGTTTTTAAAACAAAAAAATAAAAATAACAGAATAAACAAATATTTTAATAGCCAAATGAAAAACGAACTCCGAAATGGTTGGAATTTTAATTCCGGTACACTGTTTTCATCAGTGTCCAAAACCTATTGTAGATCAAAACGAACTCTAGTGTCATCTGATGAAAAAGAAGATCAAATCAAACTTATATTTATAAGTTGAAGAAGAAGCAAAAAAAGAGCAAAAGATCGTTGATTGTCGCACATCTCAACTAGTAGTGATCGTGTTTTGGGCAAATCAACAATGCATTTTTGAATTTAACGCAACTGAAATTTGCGTAAATTTTTAATGTATAATTTCGAGTCACAATGACACATAATGCACATAAATAAGCTGGCTCAAATCTATGCTAGTCAAGCATAAATAAAACAAAAACAAAAATATTTTAAATGTAATTGTAGATCACAGAAATCATGGTTGTTCTTTAGAACTTAAGTGTTGGTTGTCGTTTATGTCTTAAATTTATAACACAATGAATTAAAAAATAAAAACAAACAAAATATGCCAAAGCATTAGAGGCTTATGATAAATAATGAGAAGACAAACAGAAAATAAAACTCTATAAATTTTCTATTCAAGTGACTTTTAAATTCTATCGGTGGGAATGCAAACAGAAAAAAAACTGAAGTAAAACGAAAGAAATAAGTTATGGAACGAATGAACTGAAAGAAATAAAATAAGAATATGGCAGAGTAATTGTAAGGCCAAACTTCCGTTACACTCTATAGCAATGAAGTACTATAATAATGGGTTGAACAATTTTATCTATATATTATACATGTCCTAAGTATGTTATTTGAAAGAGAAAAAAAAACAAACCACTGTAACTTTTTAATTTTGAGAAGACAAGAAAAACATCGTTAGGTGTCGAACGATAACGATGATAAATGATCGACGACGACGACGTGGAATAGATAATGAAAACTTCACACATCAAATTTGGCAATAATTTTTACACGATGTAATTTTTGCAATTAATGATAACCGATTAAACTGAGAGAGAAAAAATAAATCAAATCAAATCAAAATCCTTCATTAGTCTTCGAGCGCGCTAATTCCAATAAAATAGCAACAACAAGAACAAAACCAAAATAAAAAAAAAACAAATTTAATAACAAGAGTACATCTTTTAACGAAATCAATTTGCATACATGTATAAAACAAAATATGTATAGTAGTAACGTGTTTTTTGTTTTTTTCGTAATGTGTTTTATTCTATAGAAAAACCAAAAAAACAAACTCATCGTTCTCATACAAATATAAGCCAGCGTAAATGCATTTGAATGTTTTAAAAAAAGGTGAGAGAGAGAATACGGTGATTCATGAATCAAAGCATAATTCAATCAGAGAATCAACACACGAAGACGAATTCAACAACAACAACAACAAAAAAAACAAACTCTATATTTTTAGACTTAAAAAAACTGCTCTTCGATAATCCACTCATAACATCGTTTCAGCGCCGAATTTTGGACGAATGTGAAGAAAGAAAATGAAAATTTGGCTCGGAAAATTCATTTGTAAATAGTGAAAATGATACTAAAAAAAAGCGAGAAAAAACATAAATACACACACATACACAATATAGTTTTTTTTATAACTTCAACTGTGGTCTCCATTCGGTTGTTCTGATTTTTTCCTTCGTTTTTCTCCTTTTCTATTTTCTTAATAAATATTCTTTAATCTCTCTCTCTCTCCAAAACGAATAATGAAAAGCGCCTAATCAATACAAATGCAGTATATATATGAAACATTTAGAATTTATTGACTTTCATTCGAAGACGGATGAAAATGGAAATAAAAACGTGGAAATTAAATGACGAAATCTTTTCTATTAGCAAAACACAACCGAAGAAAAAAGACAGAAATAATGAAACAGCTCGATTTTATCGAAATGTGAATGTGTTTGCACCAGATTTGAATGTGAGCAATTTTATTGCAAATTGTGAATTAACGATTAGATGTTTCTTTTTTATTATTCGTTTTCATTTTTCATCGATTGGATGACGACGGTAGCTAATTTTTTGTTTTCTATTCGGTTTTTCTTAAGAAGAAAATTTTCTCGAAACTCAAGATTATTTTATATAGTGACATTTGTTGACTGCATTGTGTGTTCGGGTTATTTTCGATAATGAACGATTCTCTATCGCACATGCAAGAGAAACGAACTGATAATGCCGTAATACACACAATGTGCATCTTTCATATATATACTAAATTACAGAACACAAAAACTAATCAAATAATTAAAATATTTAAATTAACATTAAATGTCTATTTATTATTATAAGTGAGACAAGATTTATTAAGCACCACTTTTTCAGCGTTAGACAAACGTCTCCTTTTTTTTGCTAGCATAAGAATGAGAAAATGAGAATTGAATTAATGTTTGTTGACTATTTTCTATAAGGATCTTTGAAAGAATTCATTGTGTATCACCGGACCCCTTTCGCCTCACAAATCGATCAAATCAAATGAGTGTAGCGCACGTGTAACGCTCAAAATGACGTGTGCTTTTGATCCCTCCACGAATGTGGTGTAAATCAAACTGAAGAGACGTCTGCCATCATCCCGCCATGTATTTTTTGTGTTTTCGTAACAGAGAAATTAATCACGGGATTAGGTTTTTAATGTAGCGTGAAAAAAGCGTGTGATTTTAACAACGTGTTCAACTGATTGATTTATGCATACCGCTCGAATCAGTCTGAATGTTGACTCGTTTGAATCGCTGAATTCGAAGCAGAAATCAAAACAGACTCTGTTTTTTTCTTGCATTTACCAAAACTGCATAGAAAAATGAATCGATGGAAATGTAAACGTTTTGACTTGAAAATCGATTGATTCAGATGTAACCATTACCTGCTGAACACCATCGCTTCATTTTGATTGTACAGTGTAGTTCTAATGCACATTCAAATTCGGGTTCATTCAACGACATTCAACGAAATGTGTTGTAAAATTCATGAAAATTCACCAGTTTTTCCTACGTCAAAACGTTTACGATCGCCCTTTATAATTCTTCCTTTGTATGTTATCGAATCGTATGATCGAAAGTCGCGATCATCGTTTGTGTGAAACTGCAATTTTACCTGAAATATATTCATGACGATAATGATGATGATGATGATGATGATGATGATGATGATACATCATGAGTGTAGCAACTTTTATAAATCTTTTTTACATTCATTATTCTTATGGGTTCTGTTCTGTCTCTCTGCAGTATGCTACTTTTGATACATTCAACTAATTTTCGCATAACAATCATAAAGCATTTTTCAAAAGCAAAGAGTATAGCAACAGTATACACATGAATCATGCTATTAGTTTTAAATGATAGAAATACATAAAATTGAAGGCAATTCATGGACATCTTTGACTCAGTATTTACTTTCGATTGTAAGATGAAAATACCATTTGGTTTTAAATTCCCTTTGAGAAAGATAGAAAAAAAAACAAATAATTGGTTGTTATTTGTGACATCTCGATCGATCGGCCTTTTCCATTGTTGAACTGGTCGTTGAATCTTGGAAGAGGAAGCGCACGCGCATTTCCAGTTCGAGAGGTTGCCTGGATGATGAATGGCGAACCATTGGGGATGGATTGTTTGGAATCAGTCAATTAATTAATAATCAATCATATTGTGAGTTGAGCAAAAGAGGAATAAAAAACCATTGGAATGTGGGTAGTGATGGCTTCGAACGTTCGTTCGTTCGTTCGACAATTTAAAAAAATATTTTTTGTGCGTTCGTTCGTTCGTTCGATAATTTGAAAAAATATTTTTTTGTTCATTATAAATTTGATCAATACATCGAATTTTCTGATGTAAAAAAATTTTGTTCGGACCGAACATCGGACAAAATGAATGTCGAACGAACGAACGAACAAAACCTTTTTTTAAAACAATGTCAAACGAACGAACAAGCGTTCGAAAGTGTTCGACGGCCAACACTAAATGTGGGTGGCGCATAATCGGCGACGAATCGTGTGATGATCATGAAATCAGTAGAATTTTCAATCCAAAATACCGTTATATTACTCCGAAAGAAATGTTTGAGATATTCGATGCCAAAACCACTTAGATAACGATCTTAATGATTTTTATATTCTCCAATCTTACTCAAATTTGCACCATGTAGATATTTAGAAAAACTTGAAAAAAAACAAACAAAATATTATTAAAATGATATTTAAAAAAAAAAAAACTAACAATAATAATGATGAGGAAAAACAAATGGAAATAAAAAGCAACAGAAATCTATATATATATATATATATATATATATAAATGGTATTTGTAATTTAGAAAAAAAGACACACATGTTTTAGTCAGAAACTAGATCGCTCAGTTATATGTGCGTTTATAATTTTGGTGTCATACTCTGTGTTGTGATTTTTCATAAAAACTTACATACAATGTAAATAAGAACTAAGCAAACGCATTGAGACTAATTAAAACGAGAAATGAAAATCATGTACGTGTAGCTCAAAATACAATCACTTAGGCAAATATTTAGTTCAACATTTTGCACATACGTTTATTTGGTTCGTTTTCGTTTGTTGTCTGGCGATTGGTTTGGGAAAGAAGACGAATTAAACATAATAATTCTCGATCGACAACAACAACAAATACTCTAATTTCATACTAATTTGAAATAAAATGCACATTAAATGTTTTTAGTCATTTTAACAGAGAAAAAATACGTTTATATGATTGAAATACCTGATAAAAACGGGTTAGTTGTCCTTCATTTTTAATCCACTGCTATTCTCATTACGTTTGATATTCACAATTCGTTTTGCTAATTATTTATTTTGCATACTCTTCCCCTTGCCCTCCTACCTCTCAAAAAGAAAAGAATAAAAAAAAATAATAAGACGTAGTAACTGATGAAAAATTATATTTAATTAAACAAACAAAAAAGAGAATTATAAAAGTCCTTATAGACATATCAATTTACAAAACTATTTCTAGTTTTAACACACATTGTGAGAGACACACACACACACACAATTTACTTAAGTTTCCGAACAATTAAATAAACATTGACGGGCAGAAAATGAAACAAATGAGATACTTTATTAGAATTTATAAATATATGCAACAGATACGTTTTCCGTAGAATTTCACCTAAGAATAAAAATTAAACTAAAATCAAAAATATCGACAGAGAGAGAGAGAGAGAGAGAGAGAGAGAGAGAGAGAGAGAGAAAGAAAACCAAATGAGAACATAACCAATAGCTAAGTACCTTCATGAAGAATTCGGAAACCGGACGATACAAGCATATTCCATAGATCACTCTACTTTGAACCGTGATCACTTTTATTTTCATCGAAAATTGCTGTGTGTATTTGTTTTGAGCTATGAGTAGAGATCATGTTTCTACTTGTCTTGAGATTGATATGCACTTCATAAATTTCTTATGCAAAATGCTAGTCCCCTATAATCATTGGCTGTAATCAAAAAGGAGAAAAAAATGATTTTGGTTGGTTGTAAAGAAAAATCCTTTGTTGCGATAGCGCGACAGCAAATATTCTAGGTACTTTTGAGGAAAATGGTTCATTTTTCAAAATTTGATGGAGCAGAATCAAAATGTAAAATTTTCCCATCTAAAATAGTCGATGCGATAATTTTAACGATCCCAAACTGAAACATGCTCAAATCGTTCAGTGGAAAAAAAAAAGTGATTTAAATCACTTCCCTCTAGCTAATAACCTTTTAGTTTTTTTTTTTTCATTCGAGTGTGTTCCAAATTCTTTCTCATCATTGCACAAAAGTAATCTGTAGTCGAAATTCTGAATGAATGAATAGAATATAAAAGCAGAAATAAACCGATTTTCCGTGCCAATATTCTCGGTGTTTTGGGCTTAGGCATTCGCGTATACAGATTATTTGGTCGAAGAAAAGAAAAATCAGCATAAAAAAACAACAACAACAACACAAAAATAACATATACAACGAAAGCAATGTCGGTCTCCCACACCGAAATGATAAATGATGAGAACACTTGGAGTACACAAACAAATACAACAGCAATCAATCAAAGAAGAAGTGAACATCCAAATTGCATAAAGATCTAACAGAAAAAAATAATTTCGATTTAAACCAAGTAAATTTAATGTGTAAAAAAAGAGTTTAAAATGCATGTAGATATTATATGATTAAGAGCTACCATTACGTCGTTTAAATCTCTCATAAAACTATGAGCAATCTTGACTGTCTGGTTTTTCATTTCATGCATCAAACAAAAGAGAAAACTTTTCTTCCAAATGCAAACAATTGCGCACTTTCAATGCAATAAACTAAGAGAAAAACAAAATCAACATCATAATAATATGGCCTAAGAATCCTTCATTTCCATTGCTTTGACGCTTCTTTCACTGTCAACTGAACACTCATGCTCATTGAAACATTCACAGTTGTTTTGGACATAAATTTATCACAGTGAGAGAAAGTGGAAGATTTTTTATTTCGTTTTTTTTTTCAAATCAAACACTTTTAATCTCGAACGGCCAATTTTATCTTTCATTTTGACAATCTATTTTTATACAAACAACCAAACAGAATCTACGATAACATTGCATCCGACGGAGAGTACGAAAAAGAAATTATGACGTGATGAACATTTAAAAACGATATATAGGGAATAGGATTTTGTGGTTTTCTCAAGATGCAGTTCACTTCCTCAATATTTCACTTTGGTTCGTTTCTCTCTTGAGTAAATGAACTAAATCAATCATTTTCTCCATTTTGCATTAAAAAATTTGAGTCACCTGCAATCAATTTGAATACAATAACGTATGCTCAATGGTTAATTGATAGTAATAAAAGTAGACAGAGGATATAAAGTGTTCTAGGTACTTTGAATAAGTTCTCTCATCGTATTAGGTTACATTTAACTGAAACAGACAAAAATAAGACACATTTTTCAAGGCCACATCATATTAGAGACTATGACGAATGCCTTACTTAAATACTCTATTTTCGTTGCTGACTTTGAAGGTTTTTTTTTCATATTCTCGCTCAAAAAACGGATCTGGATTAGAAAACAAAACAATGCTCTTATTTTTTCGCGCTGAAGAATCAAGTCAAAATAGAAAGAAACACAATGCACAACACACTGTCAATTAAAATGTGGAGAAGCTAAACTACATAGTCATGTGATAATGGGACAGTTCGATGTCCTGATGTGTAATAATATGTCAAATGTACAAAACAAATCTGGATTGAAAAAATTGAAAGCACAACATTTTCGGTTTTGAATTCTTTTGTGAATTTTTGCTCAATAAGTGACATACATTTATCTTTTGTACGGTGGGCGCATGATAGAAATGGAAGTAAGCAAATTCTGATAAAATACTTCTCGAACGAACGACATATAGAACTTATTCAAAGATCTGATTTGAAGACTAAGCGAAAATGCTATATATTTTAGTGGAAATTTGCTCACGCCATATTCGTTTTCACAACTGAATCTATTCCGTTCCATGATTCGTATACCAGAGAGATTAATTGTTTTCTACTTCGAGCTAAAAGCAAATGGAGCATGTCTCTTTCTCTCTGGATGTGCCGTTAACTGTTTTTGCAAAGCATTCAAATCGATTTCTTCCATTAACCTTTAACTTCTACGATGTATATTTAATTGACGTCAGTATTTTCACACGAAATATCCAATAATGTTTCTATTTCTTTCGTGCAAAGTGTATTTTGATTATTATGAATAAAAAAAATGCACCGGAATATTTAAGAAGAAAATGGAAAACAAAAGGAGTAAAGTAATGACTTTCATCGACAAAACTATGGATGAAATGACCGTTTCGTATGTACTTGTTTATAGTAAATCATTGTTAGAATTTAAGAATTAAATCGAATGTAACTTGAAATGAATCTTCTACTCGATGTTTCCTCCTTCCACCTCCCCCGACATATAAATCCAACAACAAAAATTCATTTATTCATTCATTCAATAGCATTGAGTCAATGCATACACGGCGAAGATATTGATGATAGTAACCAAAAGTTCGATAATGTGGTCACTTTGAATTGAAGATTTTCAATTCTCCACTGAAAGCATACATACACCCACACACCAACTGATTGATATTTGATGCTTTTCTTGCGTTAGACTTAAGGTCACTAAGATTTAATTAAATAATTTTACACTCACTTTTTTCCTAGCTTTTTTCACTCGTACGTTGGGAAGGTGCATTCATGCGTTTTCTTTTTATTGTTGTTCATTTTGTTTTTGGTTCATTCTCGTTTTTCTTTCTATTTACCAAAATTCCATGTTTCTTTAAATATGAACGTTAAATCTTCAAATGGTGCATAAACTACGTAATTTTATTAATCAAATATATGAAAAGAGACGAGTTTTGAATACTTATACACGTATGCACCGGTTATTGGTGCGAATAGTTTTAGAATTATACACACACATATTATTTGTGTTATTAGGTATAATTGATACAAAGACGAAGAAAAAAAAAACAAAAGAAATGGAAATAAAAATCAAAGCATCAATTCAACATAAGTCTCCATCAATGAAATAAATGAATAAACAATATTCAAAGTTGCAAAGTTCTCTTAGCTACAAAAAAAAAGAAGAAAAAAAACTCACTCAGAGAGCCTACAATCTACGTTTTCTGTACACAAAAGCCCATTGCTGAGTTCATCCACATTCACGATACCCAAAAGAACGAAAAAAATTGAACTAAAGGATTAAACTCATGAAATTGAAAGAAATAAAAAATGAAAAGAATATTTTAGCGTAGACACAACCAGTTTTAATCACATAAATTAAATTAATTGTTGTAATTAAATTATTGATATGGACAAACAAACAAAAAAAAATATTAAAAACTAATGAAAGAATCTTTCTCTGTGATTATTTTAATATGTACATTTAAATTCTGACGATAAGAAGGAGAAAGTTTTATGGACAACACAAATAATGTATATTTTAGCCTCATTATGTGTATGAAAATATATGTAATGTAATGAAATCTATTAAAAATTGAACGCTTGTTTTATTTCGAATCATTTTTTTTCTAGCTGGCATATTTGTGTGACACAAATTGTGTCATCCGAAAATGGACTTTGCATTCACAATTTGATGATGATCTAGAATGAAAGAGTTTTTTCTATCCAATTTTATCTTTGTCCAAAGGTTTAACTAATAACCTAGCGAATACTCCACAATTAAATTTTTTTAATTTAATGAATAAGTTTCAAAAGATAAACACGTTAACAATTGCAACATTGTAACGATCGACGAACAACATCAGAGTTT